CTCCCCAAAACCCCAAAACCCCAAAACCCCATATAAGAAAGTAGATGTTGGAATGAATATAAATATTTAGATATGGAACATCTATCGGCCAAAGTGATTCCCATCCCTTACAGGATATCTTTACTAAGTGTAATCATCCCCTATTATGGCTACGTGAACGAATGCGCAGAACTCTTCCTACAACTCGACAAGAAGAGCAGAAGTGTATGGGAAGCAAATCTAAAACCCATCTTAGATGTTATTCTGAACTACAAGCAGTGAACTTTAGTAAAAGACATTCAAAAATCCTTTACTCTAAAAGTAGGACAGAAATTATTAGCTGCAGAAACTTACTGGCACCCTTACTACTTATACTTCAGTTTGAAGGTATATCTCCAAACTTGTGGAGACTTCAAGGCAATGATGTGGTTTATGGATGAAATGAAGCTGCGTCTTAAGCACCAATTCTACAAAATCCACATAAAATTCGCGCCTCGTGACATCCAAATCTGTAATGAGTTCTTAAGGAAGTACCTTCAGCATGGATTTAACCCGGAAGCTGTATTGATTGATGACAGCTGTCAGCCTTGCTTGCTGCAGAAACTTAGAGGAGAGGAGAGGCAGTGCTATTTTGGAAGAGAGCAAGGATGGATTAGGTAGGATGGAAATGGGGCTTAAGTGTTGGATTTTTTATTTTGGGGAGTTTTGGGGCCTGATTGGATGGATTTGAGGTATTTTTAAGGGTTTTTAAGGGTTTTTGTTTGGCTTTTGAGAGGGATGGTGTTTTGATAGGGGTGAACACTGTGTTAGCCTTTTATTGTTATGATTCAGAATATGAAAGTTAGCATTGTTTTTGGAGTTTTAAAGCCTTATTAATATAAAGTTCTGCGTTTGTGTTAGTTTTAGGATGTTCACAAATTGGCAGGAATTAAAGCTTTTTATTAATCTAATTCTTTACAGACAAATGTATCATTCTTCATACTTCGGAGATATTGAACTTTGCTGGAATCCAAAATCAAAGAAAGAATCAGATTCACTAGATGTAGATAAAATCGTTGAGGTTCTTGAGAAGGAGGGGAAATCCATAAGGTTCAACTACCCTTCTCTACGTATAATTGAAGAGCAAGCCAAATCTGAAGGTAGCAGCATATCCTTCTATGAAAATTTAGTCCATTTCTTTTCACACCTTAAGACAACACAAAACAATAAATTTTCATATCCTTCCCCTTTGATCACACCTAAAGCCTTATTCTAACTTATCCTAGTAAATTTCAAACACACAAACAACAAATGAAGAACTATAAAAATCTCAAAAGACCGCTGAAGTAATCCACTCCTCTCCCTTAACCCCTAATCCCCCTTCTCCCCCTCAACCACCCTCTCCTCCCCCAACTCCCCAAAACTCCCTAGTCCAAATCCAAGATTTCACTGAGAATCAATCCAAAAACTCAACTACTGGAAGCCAGAGTGGGACTGGCTGGAGATTGGGACGGAAGAATTGGCTGGCCGGAGTAGAGAGGAGGGGTTTAGGGATGGATGTATTGGCTGGGGAGGAAAGGGGGTTGGGTATAGTGGGGCAGGGTTATTTAGGAGTAGAGGGAATTGATTGTTATGGATTCTGGTGAAGTTTGTTTGTTAATATAATTATAATGGATTTTTGATATTTTTTCTTTAATTACTAAAATTTTAGGAATGATTATTCCGAGAAGAAACTTTCTAGCCGAAGAGATTAAAGCTCAGATGAGAGGGTTGAATTTTCTGCTCAGTTCTACTCCGAATGTAGAAAAGATCACCTTTGAATCTCCTTGGCTCTTCCAGGAAATAGCTTTTGAATTACTGAATTGATTGGACTCTATGACTTTAAGAAGGAAAAGCACTTCAGCGCCTCTTCAGACCGAAGATGTCAAACAACAATTTAGCCATTCCAAATTTAGGAATCCTAACTTTTTTGATATTTTCAGTCCAGATGGTGAGTATCCATACTTGAGCAAAGTAAGACATTTTGAGTTTACTTCTAAATCTGAGTTTGGGGAGTACTTCCTTGACTTGAAAGTTCCTCAAGCTGAGATTATCTATAAAGATTCCAGAACTAGCAGTTTCTATATATTCCCTCTGTCTGACGTCACTCTCAAAATTGGAGGGCAGAAGGTAATTTATTGAAAGGAGTCAGGTAAAAGTGTTCCTAAAGAAGAATCTAAAGAATCTCCAGTGGAAAATAACCACACTATTATTTTGAAAGTTTTGAAAGATGATTCGATTCGTTACTTCAGTTTTTCAAAATCTCCAAATTGGAGGGATCATGACGAGTCTATAAATATTGATAAGGTAATTATTTCTTTTTGAGTGCATGAACTGAGACTAATTTATAGTGATACAATGGCCTCTCGATCAGAATACCCTTTAAAAGACCATGAAAGATACTAAAGCCCATTGGAAAGCGTGTATGCCTCGATGCAAGCAAATGGTTTATGAAAAACCCAGACATCAGATGTAAAGAAGCTTCGGGATCTCCATTAGTGTCCTTCACCAACTGTTTTACTGATCAGAGACCCCACTATATCTTCAATGTTACAATTAAGCCTCCTACTATTGAAGAGCTAAAGAAAGAAAGTGAGCCCAATGCTGTTAAGCCAAAATGTAAAGTAGATTATTCTCATTGTATCAAAGCAGTTCCTCGTGTTCCAAAGAACGGGGTAGTTTCTGTATGCATCAACACTTATTTTGTCCATAAAAGTAATAGCTTAAATGTGACTACAAAAGAGCTTTTTATTATGAAACAGGCCTATGATGCTGTCAATTATTGCAAAGGTAATTTTCTGTAACCTGTTAGAATTTAGAAAAGATAGTAACCAGAAGCAGCTCTGTGCCCTTATTGATAAACTTCAAACTGTGAATCTCATTGAATTCAGGTCAGAAGGCATCATTGATGATGATGAAGTAATCAATAAGTTCTGTGAGTTGTGAGAAAGCAATCTTGCTATCAGAGATATTGAACTCAATCTGGAGCATCTTCTCCATGTAAAGCAGATTCTGTATTCACTAAGGAAGAATTATGTTATTAAGACTGTCAGACTTTTGACTGAACAGAGAATTAAGGAAAAGAGTGGGATTAGCCTAAAAAGAGGCTCTAAGGATTTAAGTGAAATAGACAAGCTACAAATAGAAATCCTAGAATACTGTGAAGAGTTCAGAAGCAAGAGAATTGGGACTGAGATAATGCTGAACACTACCCACAAAAGATTCAGATATTCAGATAAGAAAGGATTTGAGTTGTATTACAAGTAAAAAATTACTAGATTTTATTCTCTTGTTATAGAATTAAATGAGCATTCAAGTTTCAAAAGATATGAATAATATTGGGGTTTTGGGGTTTTGGGGTTTTGGGGTTTTGGGG